CACTGACACAATGAATAGATTAGTGGATTAGTGTGTTAATGTGCTATCTCCAGACTGGATCTTCTATAAAAGCCATTTTGTCTGCGTCTCTTACTGTTCCCTGTCTTTCCACATACAATGCCCTGCCTGAGTCATCTCAGGACTCTGCTAATAAGAAGGTCATTGATAGATCCAGGCCCCTGACTTTGGGTGAGGACTAAAAATTACCGAATCTGTGGTATGGTGTTATTAGGAACAGAAAATGAGTAAGACACTCTAGTAATGAATTCTGATTTTTATTTGGGTTGGCAATGTGTCCAGCCTTTCTTGTAGCCATGCATGGCATTGTGGTTGAATACTAACCAAGGAGAGGTAAGTGTTGTTCTTTTTGGAAGGATCTGTTACTCATTTCCTGTTACTCCTCCAATAACTTCCCACAGATTTAGTAGCTCAAAACAACATAAACTGCTCTAGAAGTCAGAAATGTGACATGAGTCCCATTAGGCTAAAATTAAAGTGTTGCAGGACTGTTTTTCTACTGGATGCTATAAGGAGAATCTATTTCTTTGATATTTCTAGGGTTGTTTTTTTTTTTTTTTTTTTTTTTTTGGTACTGGGCAATAAACTCATGACCTCATACTTGCAAGGCAGGCGCTTGTGCTGCTGAGCTAAACCCCCAGCGATGTTTCTAGTTCCTAGGGGTTTTTGTGTAGCTTGCCCTGCATCTTTGAAGTTGGTATGGGCCAATCAGTGGTTCTTACATCACCTAACACGGCTTGACTCTTCCACCCCCAAGTGTCATATGGTTCCACTGGGCCCATTTGGGCAATCCAGACAATCTCCCTAGTTTAACTTCAGTGAATTTGTCACCATACTTCTATCAGTAACCTTCAGTTCCCCTTTGCCAAACAATTGAAGGTACTCTGAGGATAGAACATGAACATTTTGAGTGAGATTTTTGTCATGCTCATAATAAAATTGCCCTCTCTTCCTCCTACCTTCAAAGGATTCATGGTATGTTCACTTCTGGAAGGAGACATTGATGGGCAGAACCAAAATCCACCTTTTTGGAAGTTACCCTAAAGGAAGAACTATTATCTGTAAAATGGGAGAAAGGATGACAGACACAAAAATACCATATGCTACCACAAATTTTTGCTATAATGATGTAACCAGTAAGAATAGGTAGTTTTGGATGTTGATTCACATATTTCTAGCTCACAGGTGTTCAGCTCTTGGTAGTTCTGCCAGGCTTGTCTGGAGTCAGCTGGACTTGACTTCAGGTTACAGGTTAGGCTATATATTTTACCTATCTCTCATCCACTCTCAACAGCTACTCTTCAGGCACATTCTTCTTGTGGCAGATGGCAGTAGAAGGGGACAAGCCAAACCTAGCACCATGTTGAAAGCTTTTGGTTGTATCCTGTCTGATCACATTTCATTGACTAAATCAAATCATGTGACCAATCCCAGCCATCAACAACACGGACAGAGATGAACCCAGCACCCTTCCTGTCTTTTTCTCTGCATCCTCACCTTTCTTCCTTGCCAGTTTTCTTTCTATGCAACCCAGACTGGCTTCAAAATTGCAGGGATCCTTGTACCTCAGCCTATGGAGTGCTGAAATTGCAGGTGTGCACCACCATGAGCAGCTCTGTCTATTCTTGTGGTGGTTCTGCAGAGTGACACAGCAAAGCGGATAGGTGTGTGATTCTTTAGAGAGGGAGGGTACAAAACATTGGGAACAATAACCCAGTTTTACAAGAGTAGGGTAAACCAAACTATATCCCTCATCTGTGGGAGAGTTTTGTAGGGATCCTTTTTCATGCCTGTGTGGCCCACAGGAGCATACTCCTGCAATTTTTTTTCCTGTACTTTTTATTGTTTTAAAAAAATACTGAAAATGACCTAGGCATGGTGACACATTCAAAGAATTACAGCACTCAGGAAGCTGGGGCTGCAGGTTTGGTATGAGTTAGAGGTCAGCATGTACTATATAGCAAGATCTTGGCTCAAAACAAACAAGCTCCAAAACAAACAAATAAACAAAGAACAACAAAAAAGCCAAAACCAAAAATCAACCTCCAAAAAAATAGCAAAAAAAAAAAAAAATCTCAAATACTGAAAATAAAGAAAAGTATAAAGACTAATATAAAACACTGAAACAATATACCCACAGCCCAAATTTAAGAGATTTTTCTAAGTAGGCTCCATCTTCTAACCACAAATCAGCCATTGTGACCCCATGGTTCAGTCTTCTTTAAAGGCCCTACCTGAGCACATGAGGCTCTTGGGAGACATCTATGTATAAACCAGAACAGGATGCTAGCCCATGCTCACATGAATAGGAGAGACACATAGTCTTGGAAAGTCTGGCCTTCCTCAACCAGAATGTCTGATTTTTTTTTCTTCTGATGCTAGGAATTTAACCTTGCACATGTTAGTACTTTACACTGAGTTATATCCCCAATCCTAAAAATCATTGATTTGTCACTTAAAAGTCTTGCTGATGAGTGACAACTGTCATGTATTGATGCTTCTATTATATAACTGAGGATTTTAATATCTTCATTCACTCTCACAACATAGAAGTCATTCCTGTTTAGTATTAAAAAAATTCCAAGGTTGGAAAAATAAAAAGCCTGTACAACCTCACAAAGAAGAGGCCCTTCTGTGATACAGAGTCAAGTCTATCTGCCAAATATTGTCTGATAAGACTGGTGTGACCACATCCTTCAGGGAAGATTTTGAGTAAAACTGCTAAAGGTCAGGGCAATCAGCCCTTTCAATCCCCAGCCCCTACTCTTCAGTCCCACCTCCAGTGGCAAATGTCCTACCAGATGCTGAATCTTCGTGCTGATGTCCAACTTCTCAGGCTTATCCGGAGAAATGCAGGCTGTGATGATAGCTACGGAGGTGAAATGCAATTGGAAGCCTGTAGTGCTTTGGTGTTTCACTAACACTGCAGGTCTAGGGCCAGTGGTCTGATCATAGGTTCAGAGGACAGCAGTACACAGTGTGGCATCTAGTGGGGGGATCTCCTTCTGAGGGTGGTGGCCATTGTTGATTCCCTATGGTCTTGTTTTGGAAGTCCTATACCGTTTCCATTATTTTGCTGGGTTGCGTTTTATTATCTTTTGTTTGTTTTGATTATGTCAAATCCAGTGGCAGGAGCTATTTCAAAGATCTTGCTATTTCAAAGATAGCAAGATACATTATGGCAGCAATTTTAGATTTACTATAGGCTTTTTTTGAAGTCCTTTATTGCATTCACTGTTTTGTTTTTATTGTTTCTATTCTATATTGTTCTGCTTGATTTTTACTATGTCTGAGGTTATCTGCAGCTATTTTGAAGACACAGAGACATTATGGTAACTACTGTTGATTTTGTAATGTTTTGAAGTCCTATATCTTTTACACTGGTTTGTTTTGACTGATTTTATTGTTTGACTGATTTTATTGTTTTATCCTCTTTAAAATAAAAAAAAGTATTTGAGTGCCTATGTGAATGGCTGTGGCCCCCTACTACTTCCCTTGGGTCTCACAAAAATGCCCATGAATTTGGTGATCTTGGCACCCTTGGTGGAATGGAGTCAGGTTGGGGAAAGCAGGACTGCTGGGTTCCCTGCCTGAGGCTCCCAGGAAAACCAACTCCACTGTAAATGACATTGCTCCACAGGAAGTCTCTCTCCCTGGGCGACATGAGTGAGTTCTGGGCCTTGCTTCCCTTGCTTTGCTGGAGTGACCTCCTTGTTTACATGAGCTACTAGGCTAGAACTTAGGCATTGCTTTCTCAACAGGTGCATACTTACTCAGAATGCCTTTTACACATCTATTATCTGGTGCTCCCACTGCCTAAGATCAAATTCCACTTCTAAGTCTCTCTACTACTCTCTAGTCTTGTTTCATGGAGGTACACCCGGTACACCCTAGCCACGCTGTGCAGTTCCTTCTTGAGCTTCAGACTTCAGATCCAACCTCATTTGAAATCTGGTTCTCAGCTTATTGATTAGAGATGATCTTGGGCAAATTCTCAAGCATTACTATACTAAGTACAAGGCTGAACTCTGTCTAAGACTAGGGAATATGCTTTGGCAGTAAGAAGCCTGAGAGTTGGCCAACTTGAGAGAGCATCTCCTGAATTCCTTTGTGCCTTAACATCTTTACTGACAAAACAGGCAAACGACCCTTTTTGTAGGACTAGCGAAATGCTAGAAGGGACACTTCTGGTCAGGAGCATCTTGTCAATTTTTCTTCTTTCATCCTTTGAGACAGTGTCTTACAAAAGGCTAGCCTCAGCCTCCTGAGAGCTGAGATCACAGCTGGGCCCTGATCTTTTCTGTGTGTGTGCTTGAATCCAGAGCCTTGTATATGCAAGGTAAGCACTCTACCACTGAGCTAGCCCTCTTTCTTCATCCTTTAACAAGCAAAATCCTCCAGCTAAATGCTTGCCTCTCTTCTCTGAAGCCTTGTAGGGGTCCTGATGCCCTTTTGCTTCACTAGGGAATTCTTTGGTTCACTGAAGGTTGCGCTCTGCTACATCCTATGAGTGAGTTTCCACAGGAAGCCTGGGATTATCTCGTGCTAGATGTGCACTAAATTTCTGACACGTTTCCCATTCTTACTCACTTTCTCTGGATCAGTGCACTGGTTGGATCTCAGATAAACATCAAACATTTGTCAGTCATACCTCCCTCAGACCTGAGGCCAGCCACTCCCTGACAGACTGGAAATACCTGGAGAATGAAGTCTTGAGCAGCCTGCTTGATCTTCCTCAGGCTGAGGAATTGGAAAGGAGGAAAAGCCACTTCCAAAATACTTTTCTTCTCCGCCAAGATTGAGAACATGCAGTGGGGAAGGGAGGCATAAGAACAGGTGGGACCACCTGCTTCACACCCTGGCAGCAAAGCCAGGAAAGTAGACCAAAGTGCTTCCAGAGGACACTGTTACCAATAGGAAGTGGGGGCCAGAGATGGGAACAGGGCAGGGAAATTATTTTAAGAAATCAGAGAACCAAAGCATTCAAATAACAAATATATTTCAATTGATTTCAGATAAAAACTACTGGTTGAAGGGAGAGGTTAATGACCATTTCTGCCTCTAATCTGTTAGAGCCACATCCTGGAAACCTCCCAAGAAGCTATAGTAACCAGCTATTTTCACAACATCCATAGTATTAGAAAACACAAGGCCTTATATCATTTTAGGTTAAACATGTGGTTGGCGACCAAATCCAGTCTGTTACATTCCGTATTTGTTCTTTAGCTCTTCTACTTTGTCGACGTAAGCTTTCATGGCACTTTCTTTGGCAGTCCCTAGAAGGCATCAACAGGATTATTGTAGCATAGTAGGAAAGCAGATGGCTTTAGGGTTTTAGTGAGCCCCACTTTTAACTTTCTGACTGTTTCTCTGCTGTAGAGTGAGAGTACATCTCGGAGACCTTTACATCTTGGAGACCTCCTGAGGTCTGAGACTGAAAACACACATGGAACTTTCTGCCCCATAAAGCGCTTCATACATGGTGGGGCTGGCCTGAGGCTGATCCTGTGTGTGTGGAAGCCGTCAGCATAAGCCTCAGCCTTGTAGACAGCTAGGCAACTGTTGCTGCAGTAACTTTACTGGTCCTGCTGATTGCATGGTTGGCACTGGCTTTTCGTGGATTCTGTGTTGTGTTTTTATCTTTCAGGGCTACTAAGCTTACAGTGAAAAAGTAGCCAGCCACTTTCTCCTCCCCAGAGAGAAGCTATAGGAGATTCCAGGTTCTGAGTAAAAGCAGCTACCTCTTAAAGAATAATGAGACAAATCTCTGTCTCCTTGCTGCAGCACAAAGGATACCAAAAAAATCCTCAGTGACAGTCATACCCTGTTTTCTGGATTCTCCAGTGAAGAGTGGCCCTCAGGGGCTTGTGCTGAAGCACTCTGAGCCTGAGAATGGTGTGGAAGTGCCTAATGAAAAGGGCCAATCAGACAGGCATTCCCCCAGTGCAAATCCTAGGACTGTATTTATTGTATTGTGCCCTTTCTGAATTCACGGGCTTCTCATTTGTAAGAGACAGAGAGCTTATTCAGCAATGAGCTAGAGAGGACACAAAAGCTGCCAGGAGCCTGGTGCCAACTTTGGGTCTTGCTGCCATGGGGCACGTGATTTAGTAGGAGTCTGGGTATTTCTTGACTGTTGGTGTTCAGCAAATAATAGCTCCATTCATAGAGCCCTACAAACGGCTGGCCATGCATTACCTCATGCCTTTTCTATGTGCCTTTCTGGCTAGATGGGAACTGAAGAGGGTCATGGCAACTAAGGGGTCACTGCCTGGCCTTGTGGGGAAGGAGGTGTGGATAGGAAACCACCCCTTATTCTGAGCATGTCCACAGCCTGTGCCAATATTATCTCCTGCCATATTTCTCAGTGGCCAGGCCCTCTAGCCTCTCCTCTCCAATGATGCCCCTGTCCAAAGATGTGCTTGCTTTAGGAGATAGTAGGTGACTTAAGTTTTCTGACTCTGGCACAGGTCAGGGTGGTTTCCAGCATGTGTCTCCTGCATGGTTTCCTTCTCTGACCTCTTCTACTCCATAATGAAGAGTCTTTCATCACTGGGCTTCACAAAGGAGGGGACTGACTGGGACAATTACCTTTCAGCTGATTCCAGGCATCCCACTTGGCTTTGCCTTTGAGGTCCAACATCCCAGGCCGTTCTTAAGCAAGGAAAAAAAGATATTAGATTTGCTTCCAGTTTTCAATTTTCTTTCCATGAAAGCCATCTTTCATTACATGGGTTTCTTCTAGGCCTGTAATTAGTTAAACATGTCTAACACAGTAGGTTCTGCCTTAAAAAACCTAGATATAAAGAAATCCAAACTTAAAATCTAGAGAAAACAGCGGGACTCTTCTTAGTACAAGACAGTTTTTAAATTGCAAGTTAAATATCTCCATAATTTCTCCTTTTAATAGCTGCACCTTAATAAATTGTTTTAAAAAATCCATTCACATAGATCAAGGTTCAAAAGCTACAAAGGCAAAAGGTAATATGGTGGTACCTCAATTTACAAACTTAAACCTTTCCACAGTTCTGGTAATAAACTGAATTGATAAGAACTGAATCAAAAAAGGTCAATACTAAACCTAAATACTGAATTGATTGGTTCTCTGGTCCAATGTGATTCGCAATTAGAATCATGGCAAGAATTAAGCTTGCAAAGGGGCTGGGGAAATAGCTCAGCAGCACAAATGCCTGCCTGGCAAGTATAAGGTCCTAAGTTTGATTCCCCCTCATACCCCACTCCCCAAAATGCTTGTGCACCGAGGTACCACTGTACTGTCAAGCTCTCCTCCTCCTCTGCTCTCTACCACCCTCCCACTGCATTCTTATTATCAGTCTTCTGGGTGTCCTTGTCTGTCATTTGTTTATCCATATCCTGGCCCCAGTTTTTCTCCCACATTGTTAAGAGTATTCCTCGTTCATTATGGGAGCAGTTTTTGTTTGTTTGGTTGTTTTTTTAATTGAGGGCAAGGCTTTTTAAAGTTCTACCCTGATTTTATGCTTCCAGGCCTGTAATCATTTGCAACATAGAAATACTCCCTCCTTCCCTACCCTGCTGACCTACTTCACTGCCAAGAGGAGCAGCCTACAGCACTGTGACTGGCAAAACATTAAGCAACCCCAAGTGCATTCTATGCGATATCTGAAATAGACTATACTTGTAGTCACCACCAGTATCCTGGTACCGTACTCCCTGCCAGCCCTTTCTGCCACCAAGGGAATGATATTGATGACAACTAAACCAGGAGCCACTTACCCTGCAGTTAGAGATTAAACTTTTCAGTTCATTCCTGATGAGGTGTTAGTAAGACACCAAGCCAGGTTACCTGTACTGTATGAGAGCAAGCTTGCCTGGCTTGGACACAGCTCAGGCTCTGTGAAGTACTATCTGGCAGAAAGGCATTCTAGCCCTTCTGGTCACTTCCTTCACCTTCTCCTGCTGGCAGGACGGTTTATCAACCCACTGTAAAACTCATTTTTGCCACAAGCTATCCTTATCTAAACTCTTGATGGGAAACAGTGTTTGATTTGATACTGTCCATGATCCTCAGTTCTGGGAAGTGTCTCCTGCTATAGCTAGGCAGCAGCCAGTCTAGCTGTTCCACCATCCACCCCATATCCAGTGAAACTGGGGCCCTTGCTCACTCCTATGCTGAACAGAGAAGGGGAAGTGGGAGGCACTTCCTCTTAATCTGCTATGAATGCCAACTCTCAGGTCCTGGCAGGAAATGCGTCGTGCTGTTGCCTTTGTATACTACCATATCTTAAGGATTTAGAGACAGAAGGAAAACTGCTGAAGGCTAGAAACACAGTATTATACAATATGATAGTCCAAAGCATAGTTTCAGAATCTACACCAAGGGTTTTGCATTGGGAACTAATAGTCATCAGGAAGGTATAGTCTCTGACCAGCAAAAACATTGTGATACGCTACAGGATGCTAGGTGCTTTTCTACTCCTGTGTTAGGCTTGGCCAGGCTCCAAAGGCCCCAAGTGTGAAGCTGCCCATCTAGGGCAGCAGCAATGGCACTCAGCAAAGACACCATTGAGCTGAGAGCCTATGGCACGTCTACCGGGGCCTCAATTTCTTCCCCAGCAAAGGGAGCTGCTGTTGATATTACAACAGTATTACAGTTTCACTACTTGAGTCACTGAGAATCCAGGAAGACGGCCTTTGGAGGAAATCTCCCAAGCTTAAACCCCAGGAATCCCATGGACTGTGACCATGTCCTGCTTGAAGAGTAGAGCCTCATGCAGCTTGAGAGTGCAGTTCCCACAGAATTCCAGTGAAGGTTGCTGAGCCAAAAAGGCTGGTGTCTGATCAGCAGCTCAGCATACCTGTATTTATGTCGCCCACGGTGGCTTGTTTGTAGTGGCTATAAATGAACAACATCTCTTGGTCTGTTGGCTGGGTCTTGAGGTGCTTAACCTCCTCAGCAGCTTTCTCAAACTCAGCCTAAGTGGTAAGTGGGGAGAGAAATAAGGGTCATCTCTAAGTGGGAGAGGATAGGAGTCCTGGCTTTGCCTACCCAGGGACAGGATGGAGGCAAGCCGGGAGAAGCAGCTCCCTCAAGCAGACTTCCGTCAGAAGCAGCTAGAGGGAAAACAGCCATTCATTTATATAGCCCCCAAACTACTCTGGTACTCCCAGGACAGCGGCTGGAAATAAAGTGAAAGGGGCAGGCCAAGGCTTGTCCCAGTGGATGTACACAGCATGGAAAAGCAGCATGGCCAATTGCCACCACTGGACCAGACAGGAATCGCGGGGGTACCAGTCATGGACATAGGGTGCACAGCCATTTCCAAAAGAACTGATAAGGGGTCAGGGCACGATTGCAGAGGTGTAGGCTACAGGAACCCCCTAGTCATCCCTCTCCCCTTGGGCTCCGGAGTTTAGTTGTGACCTCTGCCCCAGTGCCCATTGGGGAGAGGCAGGCGGGAGGAGCCTGAGGTCGTTTACAATTGCTCTGCCGGCCCGGACAAGGGGTCTACTTTGGAAGGCAGACAAAAAGGGCTTTGGGTCACCTCCCCCGGCCTCCTTTCTCAGCACTCCAGGCACTCCGTTCCTACTTCCGCTGACCTCCAAACTCGCAGTCACGGCTTCCTTAGGTCCCTACTTCGCCGAGCCACCTACTCTACCATCCTTCCCGATGTGGTACTCTGTTCTTGTTCCTCCAACTCGTTCACCCTCCAGTCGTCCCCGTTTTATCCAGGACCCTTGCTTCCCACCGGTATGCCTGGCTCATCGTGAAGCCAACCCCACAGGCAACTTTCCAGCAGTTGGTGGATTGGTAGCATATTTTGAAAATCTTCAATTGGAAAGTTCCGCTCAGAAGGCTCTGAGCAAAGCATCAGGGCTGGGCACGGGTCCAGGAGCAGCTGTGGGGCACCAAAGGAACAATCGGAGGGTCTCCACCCCGGCCTCCCATCCCGCAGCACTTTCGCGGCTTCGCTAGGCACGCGCTGTACCTGAGACATGCTGGCGGGGTTACAGGACTTCGGCAGACAGCGCGTGGGAGACGAGGTACAGGAAGCTCGGGCGTAGGACCTGCCTGGCAAGTGCCTTTAAATGCACAGCCCTTGAGGTCCAACCTTGCTCGGGCGAGCGGCAGCAACCAATCAGAAGTCAGTGCTACATTGGGGGGCGTACCCAGCTCCGGCGTCGGCGCCAGCACAGTCCAAACCCACAAAAGCCTTAGTGCGCACGCGTCGGGTGGAGCCGCGGGGAAAGCCGGGAGGAGGTAGGGCGCGTGGAGTTGCGGCTAGTCTGGTGGTGCGGAAAGTAGGTCCGCAGTTAGGTCGGGTTCAGACCTGGGTAGATTAGAGGGTAGCACCTGGTGTAAGGGAGAGAGGCCTGAGGCCAAAAAACAGGCGTTCGTTTTATCCTCCTACGTCTCTTTCCCGACGCGAAGAGGCCGGAAGTTGCATAAGTAGCCTTTCAGATCTAGGGATGGGAAGTGGGACTGGCTGACCGCCGTCAGGCGGGGCAGGGGAGAAGCTCCAGGAGTGGACCCTGCGGAGAGGCAAGGTGGAGCAGCCGCACCTTTTTGAACTTTTGACCTGATATTCCTCGAACTTTCAGTGCCATGCTCTTAACATGTTCGTGTATGTGGTGCAGCGCTCATCTGATGTGTTAGAGGCAGGTGCAGTTTATCTCCACTTAATACTTGGATGACCACAGGTTCAAGCCTTTATCTAGGGATTTTTAAAAAATAAAATATTTTTGTTTTAAAAAGCAAAAACATAGGAATGATACAGAATTTCAAAAAAGGAATTAACACTAGTTAATACATTGCACATTGTTATCAGAACTAGTTCAGGTTACAAAATTTGGATACAAAAGTGGCTGATCAAACAATGACAGCACAAACTTCTTTTGGATGAACTAAGAGATTAATAATATAGTTATGTATCTAGCGTTACATATACATACATAAATTTGTATATCTTTACTAACATACCTAAAATCTCTTGCTTTCCATCCTCTTTTCCTTTGCTAGTGGTTTTTTGATAGAGTTTTTGGGATCTTCTATGTAGAGTATCATGTCACCTGCAAATAGTGATAATTTAACTTCTTCCTTTCTGATCCTTATTCGTTTTATTTGCTCTGGCTAATTGCTCTGGCTAATGAGTCCAGAACTATATTGAATATGAGTGGTGATAGTGGACATCCTTGTCTTGTTCCTGATTTAGAGTGAAAGGTTTCAGTTTTTGTCCATTTAGTATAGTATTGGCTGTGGGTTTGTCATAGATGGCTTTTATCAGATTGAGGTAGACACCATCTATTCCAAGTTTCTGTAGGGTTTTTATCATGAACAAGTGTTGAACTTTATCAAAAGTTTTTTCTGCATCTATTGAGACGATCATATGGTTTTCATTTATTGATTTATTGATTTGTATATGTTAAATCATCTCTACATTCCTGTGCTAAATCCAATCTTTTTGATGATTTGCTGCATTCTATTTGTCAATAATTTATTGAGATTTTTTTTGCATCGATGTTCATTAAGGAGATTGGCTTATAATTCTGCTTTTGGTCTTTCTCTGGTTTGGTCTTTCTCTGGTTTTGGTATCAGAGTAATACTTGTCTCCAGGAATGAGTTAGGAAGAATTACTTCCCTTTCAATTTCATTGAAAAGTCTGAAGAGTACTGGCGTTAAATCTTCTCTAAATTTCTTATAAAATTCAGCCGTGTATCCATCAGGACCTGGGCTTTTCTTTGTTGGTAATTTTAAAATCACATTTTCAATTTCAGAAGCTGATACTGGGTTATTCAAAATTGCTATATCTTCTTGATTCAGCTTTGATAATTCATACGTTTCTAGAAATCTGTCCATTTCTTCTATGTTTTCCACCTTCTGTGAATAAAGGTTTTCAAAGTAGGTATTCATGATCTAAATTCCCATGGGATCTGTAGTAATTTCCCCCTTTTCATTCCTTATTGCATGAATTTGAGTTTTTTTTTCCTTTTTCTTGATAAAGTTGGCTAGAGGTTTAACAATTTTGTTTATTCTCTCAAAGAACCAGTTCTTTGATTCGTTAACTTTTTGTATTTTCTTAGTTTCAATTGTGTTAATTTCTGCTCTGATTTTTATAATTTCCTTCTATGAGCTTTCGGCTTGACTTGCTCTTCTTTTTTTAGAAGCTGGAGGTGTAACATTAAATTGTTTGTGTTTGTTCTGTTTTCCTGATGTGACAATTCATTGCTATGTAGTTCTCTGTTAGGACTGCTTTCATTCATCCCACAGGTTTTGGGTATAAAATACTTATTGAACTCCTGTGGCTGACTTGCACTGTTCAGCACCTTGAAGGTACAGCAGTGGACCAAATGAATAACTGCAGTCATGGAACTTATGAGATGAAACAGTAGCTAATACAGTAAGAGAGTATTTTTAGGAGCTGACAGCTGGAAGTTCTGAATAGAGAGGAGGTGTTGAGAGAAGGTAATATTTGTGCCAGGAAGGGAGGGAGCATTCAAGCAGAGAAAGGTGGGAGAGAGTGTCAATAGGGAATGGGGGAGGCCACGGAAAGACATGAGGCTGGAGCATTAAGGGTGGTAAGGAGCAGTGCACATGATGGAGAGGTTGGCCATTCTGGGAACTCAGACTTTTATACTCATTGAAATGGAAAATATTCAGAGGGTTTTGAGGAAAGACCATGAGATGGGGTGGACGTCTTTTGCAAGGTTGTTACAGAGGTTGATTTTTAAGGGTAGGGGAACAGCATGGGTGTATAGAAGAAGAGTTTGATGGCTGATGGGTCGGAAGCTAAAGGTAGAATTTTGTGGCAGTGGATGGTTAAGAGTTGGTAAAGGGAGAGAATGATAGAAAATTGTCCACAGATTATTTTTTAAAAATTATTCCTTTAAAATTCCTAATTTGTGACAAGAGGCCTATACTACACAAATCTCCACCATTTTTGACCTGCCCCCCCTTTTTTACAGTTGTAGGCATTTAGAAATGTAGGTCAGCCTTTATGAAATGTTTAGAAAGAAGTGGAACTTTAATTGTATGGAATAAATCTAGAATCATCAGTTTGAATAATTTCTTTAAGCAGGCAAAATTAACAAAAATATAGGAGTTTATTTGGGAAAATTGCATTTGACATGTAAGATATGTAGGTTTCCATGTAATCCTAGGAGGTTAGGAGGCAGAAGTATCACAATTTTGGGGCTGGCCTGGGCAATTCAGAGAGACCCTGACTCAAAAAATAACACAAACTAACTAACAAAAACCAAAGTAGAGCTCAATGGTAGAGTGCCTTGGGTTAAATCCATAGTACTAGAAAAGGAAAAAACAAAATGAAAGACTAGGTTTCTTCTGCATCAATAATTTAGAGCTGTTTTTAACTTTTGGGGGCAGATCAATACCTATCTCAGATTTGAAAATGTTAGATACTTTTGATAATATAATTTTACTTACTATTTGTCAAAGATTAGTTGGTGTGGCTGAGTTTTGACTGGAGCTAAACCTTGTAGAAAGTAAAGCTAGTGGGAGTTTTGACTTGAGCCAGGAACAATTTCCAGTTCAAATAGTGTCCATTTGTTGATTGCTTGTTCAGAATACACTTCACTTTCCCAAGAGGATTTTTCCATGTGGTTTTGTGCCCAAATGAATCTACAGAAATTGTTTAAAACAGACATAGGCATAAGGATTGTGGATTCCAGGTAGCAGAGTATTAAGTGATCTTGACCAGGAAGAGAAGAAAAAAGACTTTTCCTTGTATCCCGGGTTCAACCTGGGTCAAATTTCAAAATAGTTGAAAGTATGCATTTTAAAAAAAAAAATTTTTTTTTAGTATACTTTCCTGCTGTTTTCCTCACTTCTCATTGATCTCTATGGAAAGAGATTGTGATACATGGAAACCTACATATCTTACATGTCAAATGCAAGAGCTCACTGTAAAACTCTCTGCTTGGCTCTTCTACTCTGGGAATTTGGAATAGCCTTTAGCTTTTAACCTAGAGATGATAGCAAGCTGACATCTGGGTTCTGCTGCCTCCCTCCCTCTTCTGCTTTCTCTCCATTTTCCCTGCTCTTCTACTCACCCATTCTCCCTTTCTCCTTCCTTTTTTAAACTCAGGACTTTAACTCATGCTCAGCAAGTGTCTAACACTAAATTATACCCTTCAGCCCTTTTTATCTGTTTTTACTTACTTATTGTTGGTTTTATTTATCAAATACCTATGACCTACAGACATGGTTATTGGTGTGAGAAGTTGTCTTTTTGGGAGGAATTCTATTCAGGGAGACACAAGAGATTGTTATCTACTAATGAGTTTGAGTCCCCTGCTTAGCATTAAATGGCTCATAAACATTGGAGAAAATATTGCTTTAGAAAACAGTTCTTTTTTACATGGTTCCCCAGCCCTTTTAAAAATCTTATTTTGAAATGTTCTGGCTAAGTTGCTCAGGCTAGTCTAACACTTAAATTTCCCTGCCCCAGCCTCTACACTAGCAGGGACTACACCTCTGGGCCTGCATGTCTGGGTTGAGATTTTTGTTTTATATTTCTGCAGGACTACAAGGGATCATTATTGTTTATAATCCTGATAAAGTGCAAAATCCTCAGCTCTGTTCATGTCCTCATGAACAATAGCACATGTAATTATTTCATTTACAGTTATTTTAATTTATATTCTCTGACCTTTCTCTTCTCCCTAAACCAGGGAGGATAGACATTACTGTATATCAGTCAATGCTTTATCTCCAGATTCCTGTACTTAGGAATTCAACAGTTCACTCTTGAAAGAATAAAGTGCTTTCGTACTGTTCCTTCTGATTAGCTGTGAATGCCAACACCAACTAAATCTATTAGAACAGAATGTGAGACTGTGGACTTGAATAAAGCAGATAACTCTGGTACAAAGCACACTAATCTCTTTCTGCCACTCCTGGCTTTGGAAGCAGGGGCCTGGAGGAGAAATGCAAGATGGGGAACCTGACCAGCCAGCTTTTCAGCCACATCGACTCAGCCAGTCAAAGGAGAGGCCATTATCTTTGTTTCAGATTGTCCTAGCATCCAAGGGATACTGTTTCAACTGCCTGCAGGCTTTACTTGTTGGCTTTCAGTTTAAAGCCAAATTGGCAAAATAGATTAACAGGTGGAAGGTGAAAGCAGTTCTTGCCCAGTTGGTGTGAATAGTAG